TGCAAGAATGAAGACAACGAAAAGGGATTCTAAGAGGTCTTCTGCTCAATCAATTCACCGTAACTCGACACCAATCATGTCGTATCAGCTCTAGAATGTCACAGTGAAGGACATGTTCAAATGATCATCATGATGGCATTAACCAGTACAAGAGATATCTTCTACTTATCTGCGCTCAAGTCTCGATACACGCTAAGAAACTGAGCTCCACCTCCAGTGGATCTTGAGATAGCAGTTTCTATTTACGCCCCCCAGGTCTTCGAATCCTTATGTGACTAAAAAACAGCATTACTGATCCAGACAATTGGTCATGCGGAGATACGTTCCGGAAGCATGGCGTTTGATCGTTCCAGGTTGCGCAAGCATTGCGCGAGAACCTCACTAGGAGATCACCGATATTCTGCCCCACAGTCTCCGATAGTTGTGATGAGTCTTCGACCGTTGGACTTCGCAAGCACAACTTCTATATCTTGATTGTCTTCTTCTGTCAGTGTAAATCCGAAGACTCTTCGATTCTCATCTGGATGTTCAGAAAGGCCGAGCCGTGCTCCTAGATTGACAAAGAAATATGGGCAACGATTACGGGCAGAAAAATGAAAGTAAAGAAATACTAACCGATAATAACCGCACCAACGAAACGATGATCCAATACCCACCGAGTAGCAACGTTAGCAATGCTTCTTCCGTCATGCTGATGTCCGATACGATGTAAAATTACGAGCAATTCTTGGAAGAGCTCCCAAGAACCCCAAGCTTTCACGATCATGTCGAGGTACTAGAGGTAAAGGTGAGTTAAACGACTGTAAAGAAACATCTGCCATTTTATTTACCTTTCTTTGGGATGGTGTAAGATTTCCGGAATATAAGTCCGGTTCTGGTGCGCCAAGCCATTTGTCGCCTAAGAATCCGCCACACTGCATGTAAACGATATCATTATCGCGAAACCCGTTATGAGTTCAAACGACTGACCAAGGTACCGTATGTTAGTAACTTGAGATCATGCCTCTCGCAGACGTCCGACATTCCGTGCAGCGGGCGGGTATCTATGACTGAAAACTGCAAGAGGCTGTGTAATCGATTGCCGCTGGAATGCGAAAAATTAGGACCCACTTGTACCTGGTTTGAGACGATGGCACCACGACCCAACACAGTGCAGATTTCATCTGTTCTGATTGCATCAAAATTGCACAAGCCGATCGCAGAGATAAGGCCCTCTTCTTTCAAAACGTGAAGTTCATTCAACGCCGTTAAGTATCCCTTGTCCGAATAATCTTGCCAATGAAACTAAGTCAATGGTTAGATACAAGACATGAGAATATTTGACTTTGATACCTGGAGCAAATCGACGCGATTCGTCCTCATGCGTTCCATACGCTCCTGGACTGCGGCCAAAACAACCGAACGTGAGGGATTGATGTGCTTAAATACACACCACTTCGTTGCTCCGACGACTTTCTCCGCTGGAGGTAATGATTCCCTAAACTGACCCTAAAGAGAGTTTCGCTTTTAATTCAAAGGATGTTGGACAGAAAAGACGCACGAAAATTATCTCTGCGCTCCCATAATGATCGGCTAAATGGGCGTTTTTCAAGTTAGATGAAGACAAGCACAGGATGGTGGCCTTTACTCACCCTAATAGTGGAATCGGGAAGAGTACGCAAAGAATTCAGACAATTTACACCACGTCTGATAACAGAAACCGCACCATATCTATGATGCTGATTAGATACGATGATCGTAGGACCGAGAATTGAAAGGTCACCAAAGGCCGTATATCCCAGCCTAACATGACGGGCCATCCCTTGGCGGACTTTCGCGACGGGGGCGCTCCCCCATGCATTGCTAGAGAGCTGCCAAAGTCCTGTCCAGACACGAGGAACGACAAAGGGACCTAGACGAAAAGACTCGCAACGCAGATCAGAACCTTGTTCGATCGTTGGCGCCATTGAACAGATGGAAGGATGCACAATGTATGGCACAGTAGCAGAGTTGGATGAGCGGGAGGTAGCCGTCGATTTTGAACTGGTCGAAGCAGCCGACGAATGACAAATGTGATCCCAGGGTCACGTCCGCGGGTTTATGTGCGCAACGCCCGACCGGGTATCTAGCGGCTAGCAAGGAATACGCCGGAACCATTCTACGGCATCAAAAATCGCCAAGGTTTCATCCTCCTTGCCGATGTACCACCTTTGATTCTCCCGGATCGCCAGAGGTATAAAGGAGCCTAGCAGTTGAATCTGAATTTCAACCTCCAACCCACCAAAGGCTCGTTACCCCTCTAATTTCCCTCCCTCCTATCTTCATGCCAGCGCTCGAAATTACCCCTCGTGCTGTTGATTTTCGTCCAGCGCTTGGGCATGTGTACGTATGCTCGCTGCGGCCTACAAGTATTGACTGACAGATGTGTGCCGTAGGAACTTGATGGTCGATACATTCATTGCCAACGCGAGCGTTGAGGAGTAAGCAAAATTTTTATCAACCTCAATGCCATCGCTCAGTTTTTTTCCCCCTCATTTCAGCCTCCGATCCATCGTCAGGAATTTACTCGCCACAGGGCCGCCAGGAATCGCTCCAGCCTTCACAAACTCCGCACGTTCTCGATTACGGCAGACTAGCGCTAAAGCCATGGGAAGTGCTTTCGCTTTCTTCGAACATCAACCGCATACGGGATCAATAACGCCCACTCAGCATCTTTACGACACACTCACCCGAGCGCGCTTACTATACGGCGCAGGAATGGGATTCTCAAGTCTGGGATTGCTCGCTTCAATAGTGAGAGCCACGCTCGGTCTCCAGTGGGAGGAGGATGACGAGATGGAGGATATTCTTGCTATCGTTGACGCCGATATTGGGCAAGCAATACAGGCAAGTGCGCTTCTATTCTATTCAAGGGCGTCGGGCCAGCCTCCGAGTGATAATAACTGCTTCCGCAGAGTTCCAAGGAAGAAATAGACGGCGGTCGCGTCGGCGATATTGCATCAGCACGTGAAGCCGTTCATGATCTGCGATGTGCGGTGAACAGCAGCATGGCTGACGTTGAGGGTTGGGGAGGGGAGTTCCCATTCGAACGCGCATCCTCAAGTATACAATACTGGAAAGTATAATCATTAATAGACGGCTCTATCCACACATTAGAGTATTTACATAGACATATTAATACAAGTAGTGCTAGACGTAGAAATATTTCGTTTGGTTACCCCCGGCAACTTCATCTGCGTCAACCACCGGCGGGGATGTTACGCATGGCGATCACTTGGGTGAAAAAAAAAACGGCGATGGATTCCAAACGTCCATTCACCTGATAGAATTGCACGTGCACATTTCCAACAGAAATTTGAGTTGACTTGGTGCGACACCAGGCGACACCCCTCCTCGAATGAATGTGATTTCATCACTTTATGATTGCGAGGCAAGTGGCATTGTGGTATTTACCCATCGAGGAAATACAACTTCCCAAACCAGAAGCCGAGCCACGTTGCAACGAAATATCAATTGCCCCCTGAGATTGTTCGATGCAGCCCGATCAGATTGGATAACTTCCCATAAGGTTTAGAAACCTAGATTATTTTTCTAAACTGACGTGCCGCCGTGCCGTTTGCCAAATGGGTCACAATCTGTCAAAGTTGAACTCTGCTTGTCATCGAACACCCTCTTCTAGATTTTAATCTAGACGAGGCCTCCCCCCCCTCTTCTAGTTCTAAATCGCTTGCATAAACCCTTTTTTTATTGTCCGACAATCAATCCCTGAGCATCCCGTCCAAATCAAGCAAGGCATCAAGATCTATCAAGATGCACCAACCTATGTAGCTGGTCTCCTGAAGAACTATTCACTACATCTTCCTTGTATTTCTCGAGAAACAATAGGGAGTCAACAGTGGAAGACAGACAAGTCATTTTTCATTTGAACCGGGTTTTGTAGGACAGTTTTTTTCATCATGTTGACGATGTATGCAGCTCTCCTTCAAACCACACACCCAGGCATCCGATTGCACGTAAGTACAGCTTGTCTTCATGTTATTGGTCAGTTCTCCTCACTGAATTCTGTATCAATTGAGGCTGGAGGCGCAGTGGGCACGGAATGAGGTTGAGTAGAGAGAGATCCGCGTCACCAAAGAAGATTTGTACAGATTTGTGTTGCTTGGCTTATGGTTTAGAAAAATGACTGAATATATTTTTGAGCTCCGCCCATCAAACATTTAGAGAATAATCTAGGTTTCTAGAAGTTATCCATTAGCGAGGGTAAACTTAGTTCCCAATGTCAACCCCGATTATAAATATTTTTTGTGGCTGCAATAAATTGGTCTAGGTTTCCCTTGCGTTTGCATACAGCCACCTGCATTGCTGTACCTTTGTGAACTGTTTGCGTTGCTTCCTTCCTCACTGGCAGAATCTGAAATTTCAGTATTTATATCGTAATGAGCATCGTTTATTTTTTTTACCCCGGTTCTGTCCGGTTGCGGTCCGGTCAATATCGCCCTTCAGTATGTGTCCTCACAACTCCCATCAACAATCGGCCGCGGAAGGGCTTATAGGCATATCTATCCCTCCAGTACTGAATAGGGAAAGCCTAGAGGACATCTGCAGTTCGCGTGTATTCCTTCTTTCAATATGATTCATGGATTTCGCTCCGCGAGGGACCCATCCTGGATTTTCACTGGAAGACCAAGCACCGTTACGTAGGGCGCGCGTCGCTTGGTCATGACAATGAGGAGTCGCGATTAGTGGAGTTCTAGGTCAAACTTTTCTTCTTGATATTTCCCTACGCTTTCCCATGATAATGTTGAAGAGAGAGATTAATGAATGTGTGTGTGCAGAAATAAAGTAACACTGCCTGAAGCAATAATTCTATGAGAACTGATAATCAAAGCAAAGTGCACCACTAGGGGTGGTGAAAAGTAGAAGGAATCGCAATCCTTACGCGGATTCGTGCGAGGTCGAGGGCTGCGATTTAGGTTTGCGGAGGTTGAGGTTGTCAAAGAACTCTTGCACGCCTTTCCAGTAACCCTCTTGGATATACGTATCAGCTACAAGCAGCAATCAGTTTGCGAAACAGAGAAATAACGTAAAATGGCGGACTATGATGACCATTTGGAAACGACTGGAACAGATCCTTTTGTGGTGGAACCCACGTTTCCACTGGACGAGCTTTCCTCCACCACCCAGCCGATTTCGGCTTCCCTCGAACGGACGCTATTTTCCATAAATTTCGCATATGTTTCTCGGGGATGACTTCGTCAAGGAGGCTGCTCAACATGAGGATGGGGAGCGTGGGTGGTATCCAGGGTATCTTGGATGCTGACTTCCACTTTTGTGTGCAGAGGAAGGAGAATACGCCAATGTACGGCCAGCCGCGAATGACGTCCGGGAGGGAGGTGAATGTGTTCTCGATAATGAGCGCTGAAACCTGCTAAGGGTCAGATCGATTCAAGAAGAAGGGCAGAACCCACTTTGGAATAGTTCCGGCTTGCTAGGTCGATTGCCACAGCGCCACCTAGCGATTGGCCAAAGATGATTATTGGGATGTTTGATAGTGATGGGTCGGAGAGTATGTGGTCGAGGGCGGTCTGGGCGTCGATTTTGAGACCTGGAAGGGTTTGGTTGGGAGGTGTATGGAAATGTGGAAGGAGATGCTCACCCTTTTCCGAGGGAGAACCAGTGGAGTTGCCGTACCTTTATAAGAAAAGGTTGGTAATGAGAAAGGAAGAAAATAAAACAAAGAAACGCACCCTCTATACGAGACCGTCAGAACATTGCACCCCAGGATATAAAATTCGTGGGCGGCTTCTAATACATCTCCATGATTCATCCCGTTCCCGTGGAACATAATGACTGTCGCGAATGAGCTGGACTCGATGCAGATAAGGACCAGTGGGGATAATAAACCTGAGAAACCAATACCAGTTGTGCTTGTCGAATCAGAAAACATCGAAGTACAACGTTGTCTGGTGTCTGAAGTTCCACGTCGGTGTACGGAAGTTTTAGAGTCGATGGAAGTTCAATATCTGTAAAATGGGTCACGTAAGGGATCCCTTCCAAGCCTACGTAACTTACATCTGGGGTACTCATCGAACGCGGCGGGGTATACGAAATGTTTCTGACCGTGGCGTGAAAGCTGTCGAAAGGACAACCTATAGTCAGTTTTTCTTCGAAAAAGTGTGGTGTAGCATAACATACTTGAACGAGAAACTGTCCAATGGTTATCGACATCCTTCTGAAGTGCCGTTCGGGCAAAGGACAGAGGGATCGTCGATGATTGTGTGTAACCGTGTCATAAATAGGCCAACACGTGTAACAAACGGCGGCGGCCGTGCGAAATATCCCAGGGTTCGGCTTGGCCTGGCTCCGCGCGTCGATCACTTCCTTTTTCTGGATCCTTTCCACCAGCTTCTACCCCAAGTGCGACTGTCGAGTAATTAGCGGTGACAGGAGAGGATAAAGTGGGCCTTTCTTTTCCTCGATTCTACGTAATTTCTGATCTCCCAATTTCCTTTCGTTAGACAAAACTTGGACAAAACTGTTGGCGGAAAGGATCTCGGACATTCTTTTCGGGCCTTGGCAGGCCCGAAGACGAATGGTACCGTGGCGGAGATCACCTGAAATCTACCACCATGCTCCACATAAAGATGCTTTGCTCATTTCTTCGACTTTTTGATCCCATCTTTCTCCTCTTCTTTCTCTTCGGAGTTCCGGGTTCGTCAACATGCTCGTCACCACACTCTTTTTAACGGTTTGCCTGGCCACCTCCAGTCTCGCTGCGGCGGTTCAGAAACTCGCGAAAGCCCAAGTGTTTACGAAATGCTTGGTGCCGAACACGGTTGCTTTGACTTTCGTGAGTATCCGTTTGGTTACCGGATGGTTGGAAACTGACGGAGTCATAAGGATGATGGTCCTTACATCTACATGTGCGTATAACATTTTGGACGTTGCTCTTGAGCTGAAGATACTGCAGGAACGACGTCGTGGATCAGCTAAGGGCAGTCAAAGCGAAAGGTACCTTTTTCTTGAGTGAGTTTCTCCACATTCCAATTGCAGTATGGCTCTCACGCCTCCCAATCGCAGACGGGATGAACTGTAAGTCAGCATTCAGCCTCTGAACCGGAGACTTGACACCACGCCGTCTTAGGGGCATGTATCTACGAGGACGCAAACATCCAACACGTGAAATATGCCTACGACAACGGATTCCAAGTTGCTTCGCACACCTGGGCGCACAAGGACCTCACCACCCTTACCTTTGACCAGAGTTTGTTCCGTCTCCCTTCCCTTTCTGCCGCCCTGCGCTGATAGCCCTTAAAACTTAGTTCACGACGAGATGTGGCGAGTCGAACGCAAGTTCCCCATTTGGTTTACCATCTTCAATCTATCACTAATGCATCACTTTACCGATTAGAAGCCATCCAGAGGATCACAGGAGCTGTACCCGCTTTCATGCGACCCCGTGCGTCCACTTCACCTACTTTGTCCTCCTTATTTTCCGTCTTACCATTCGCCGTGGTAGCCTATGGAAATTACAATGACTTAGTGTTGACCGTAGCCGGTCAGCGTGGGCAGTCTGTCGCTACCTGGGACTTTGAGTGGGTTCTTCGCTGACTTCATGCAATGATTTCGTGGAATCTGATCTTTACGGAACAGTTCTCAGGACGGTTTAAGCGCTCCCGTTGACAAACAAAAGCAGCTATACGATCAAATCGTCGCCCAGCACCCGAGCACGATCTTATCACTGCAGCACGAGGTCCATGGTGCGTCATCCCCTATTAAAACCTTACCTCGCCGTAAATCTGGTCCTAATCCTCATTATCCGTCAAGATACAACCGTGTATGCTCCAATCGCTCTTCCTTTTACTCGTCTCTGTCCCTGATCATTTGACTTATATGTAGACACCAAACCCTTCCCTACGCAATTAAAAAGCTCTTAGGCGCGGGTTATAAACTCGTCACTCTGTCTGAGTGCCTTGGAATGCCAGCCTACCAATCGACTGGCCCACCTGCCGTCAAAGATGTACGTTTTCCCCCGTCAAGTTTTTTGGCCATGCTAACGCGAATCTGTTCATAGGCTAGCTGGAGGTGTTGAATTAGGCGACGTAACTGATCACAGACTTGGATTCTTCCCGGACAATGGACATTCACCAACTCACACTCATTTACTGAAACCTTCACACTCTTTTGACTGATTTGATAGCATTAAATTCCGCATGGGATGTACCTTGATAATAATACGTGTCATTTCCCTTTGGTATACGCCAAAGGTCCAACCAAGTCGACGAAAGCATGGGCTATCCTAAAACGGGAGAAGACATCTCACTGCCGTAACCTCAATTGATGATGATTTCCGGATTTACTCCTTGAGTCTAAGCATAGAATTTTTCGCTGCTAATAAGCAGGACGACCTGCGCCTGGTATAGATAGATTTAGATGCATGTATGTATACAAGATATTGAGAGTAGGCTGGCTGTCATCCATCATTAATACGGGAGTGGGGTGTCCCTATCCACCTGTCCACAGCAGCTCAGAAAAGAGAAGAGTAGAATACGATGAGCAACGTACCTCCAGAGCATCAGGCCTAGGTACCACAGGTGAAGCGAGATTATAATCCGTGAAGGGCACACTGGGTGCATCATTGTCCGCTTTAACCTCTGGAGCGGCTTTGTCGTCGGGCACAATGACAGCAGTGGACTTGGCTTTTATCTTGGCCTTGCCTTTACCCCGCCTCACCGTCGATTTCTTCTTCTGCAACGTCCCAGTTGCCGTGTCCACGTTGTCTTTAGGAGCCTGAGCCTGAGCCTTAGCCTTATCCTTGGCTCCGTCCTTCTTCGCGCTCGCCTTTCCTTTCGCCCGCCTCTCCCTCTCCAGTTCCCTCATCTGCCATTCCAGTTCTCTCTGCACCCGCTTCCTCTCCTCCGCTATCGCCATCACCGCCTTGATCTTGTCCTTCTTCTCCTCGGTCGTCCACCACCCCTTCTTGGGGAGGTACGCCGTCGAATGCGAATATACACATTGGTGGGCACCGAATTTGCACAAGGAGAGGAGGAAGTATGTGCAAACGTTCTTGCCCCTGCGTTCACAAAGGGTTAGCTCGTAAAGCCTAGTTGAAGATGGGAGGAACATACAATTCGTCTCGGATGCTTCTTTCATCTGGGGCATGAGAGAAGGCGCACTCTGCTCCGCGCACGCACCCTGCATGGTTGTAGAACCTACATGGTACGCCTTTACCGACGTGGACGCAGTCACTCGAGTCTGAGTAACCGTCATCGTTGTCTAGAACATCCAAGGCATGGTCCTCGTCAGTGGGGTAATGTGGGTATCCGAAATCGAGGTCTTTAGTGACGTCGTCAACAATGCTAGGTGCCAGGACGTGTGAGCCAAGGGTCCGGGAGGAGGTAATGGCGGCCACGGTACGGGAGAGTGAGGTCTGGGAGGGAAGGTGCGTGGGTGCGTGGGCTAGAACAGTTTCGAAATCTAGAGCGCATGTGTGGATTAGCTATGTATGGGGTGGTGCAGAGGGGACGAACCGGTTTTGGCGGCGTTAAGGAGTTTTTGTTCTAATCTCGCAACTCCCCTAAGATATCGTGCTTCAGAGGACTTCGGGTCAAGAGTTAAAGCGCGCGTAGCGGAATGAGCCGCTTCCTCGTACCTGCAAGGGTTATTATAAGTCAGAGAAACAAGGGAGCAAGAGGAACGTACCATCCAAGCTTTACGTATGTGGTGCAAAGTAGAATCCAATAAGTCGGGTTGGAGGGCCAGACTTGTGTAGCTTCTAGGTAGGGTATGTATGCTTCCTGGTACTGTTCCGCAGAGAAAAGGACATCGCCCTGGACATTTTTGAATATCGGACAAACGACGGATTGAACATAACCAAAAGACATACCTGTTTTTTTAGATCTTCAGCGTTGGTGTGCTTCTCAGCACGCTTCGCCGCACGTTTCTCCGCCCGCGCCACCCTTAGCTCTTCGTTCGTCGGACGGTGCAGAGCAGGCGTGGGTGGCTCAATTTCGGATGTAATATCCTGTGGGTCGGCGGTGTCAGTGTCCAAAGGATTTTTCAGAATGGCGTCAGCTGGTGTCGGAACATGATTGGAATCGGTGGTCGTCGTAAGTATCGTTGTCGTTACTGGCGTCGTTGTCGTAAGAACGTCAGCAGCGACAAAGGAGTTTAGAATGGCTGGTCCTTTGCCGTGGGTCATCTCGACGGTCGTTGTGGGTATTTTGGTTGTCGAATCCATTAGAAACGATGTCGAGGATGACGGAGAGGTGGTCTAGGTCGTCCGCGTTGGTCGTGAAAGAAAAGTGATCGTGTGCACCGCCGGCATCAAGGTGGATTCCACCCACGTGATATGTAGTTACCTCCATTCCTCTTTCAATTTTGAACCTCTCTCTCAGCTCGCCAAAATCGTTCCCTCAACTTTCAATTGCGTTTTATCCTCCCGTTGACTCTCCTCCAAATTCGCAAAGCTGGAGCTTGCGAAAGCATACAGCACTTACACAATTAACGGACCGTTTTGCCGGACCTTGTGATGCTGCCGACGACAACGGGGACTCATAAGCAAAACGTCAGGACCCCGCACTGCCATGAGCGCTTCCGCAACGCCAGAGTGTCAGTATCGACACCTTTCATTCCCCGACTTTCACCACAATGAAAATGTGAGTTGCATACAGAGCAATATCCGTATATCTGACTCATCCCGTTCTAACGCAGCTTCGATATTTTGCTGCGTGGTAAGCCAAATCTGAACTCCTGAGCTGTGCTTTCCCTCGCTCGAAGACTCATCCGGATTCCAGATATCACGGTCACAAGCCTTGCTACTCCGAAACATAGTGATCTTCTCGAGGCATCGGATGTCCTTCTGCAACTCTTCATCGATGGAGACTTCGTTAAAAAGGTTAATCTCGCCAAGCAGGATCTTCCATCGCTGGGATGGAAAGCCGCAGATGAAATTGAAATGTAAGTGATAGCCGTGAGAGAGACTTAGAGAATGGTTGAGCTAAATTTATATGCAGTCAAACCAACTTTGTTTCATTTTCCGTTGGTATCATCAGTGAAAACTGCATTACCCGATTCAATGACATTGTTTGCCGGAATTTATTGGAAATGATGAATGGAAATGGCTATCTTTGTAAGTTTGATGGTTGCTGCAGTCTATGTAATCTTTCACTCACTGTATATAGCACCAAAATCTTTTTCAGGCCATTTTATTGATAGTGATGGTCACCCTGTGATGGAATTGCATTTTATGTTCTGCATTTCAATCATGATACCAGAAAATCAAGGTAAACAAAAAATGTGTTATTTCTGGTTTTGATTGACTGTTGTCATTCAGACATGCTCAGAATTCAAATTCACTCAGACAAAGCTACCTCCTCCAGCACAATACAAGTTCAGGAACATTGCCATATGTTGCAACGATTTGCTCAGCTTTGCACAAGACAATTTCAGAGCTCACAAGATCTGGATTATCTGAACCAGGCAGTCAGTCTCTTTCAATATGCTGTCAGTCTGGTCTTGCTAGAGGACCCTAAGAGAGCTGATTATCTTTCTGGTCTTGGCAAATCACTTATGCTTCGGTTTACTTGTCTTGACAAACTGGATGATTTGAACAGATCCATTCTGGCTCTTGATGCTGCTGTCAATGTTATATCTGATGCTAATCCCAAGAAACAAGGGGTGATGAGCAACCTTGGATATGCACTCTCATTGCATTTTCATCACACTGGCAACCTTGATCATATCACTCACTCAGTTTCCATACTTGACAAGGCTCTTCAGCTGGGGGACCCCAATGATCTTGCTTGTCTGACTAACCTTGGAAAGGCTTTGTATCAGAAATCAGAGGGACTTGATAATCTCAATGATATTGATAGATCTATATCTGTCTTTAAGAAAGTTGTGGAACTCACTCCAAATGAGGATTTCCATAAAGCAACATCTTTAACCAATCTGGGAGGTGCATTTCTCTCAAGATTTGGTAGACTGCACAATATTGATGATCTCAATGACTCTATCTTGAATAACCAGAGGGCTGTGAATCTGTCAGTTGCTGGGAGTCCTCATGAAGTCAATTGTTTAAACAACCTTGCAAATTCACTATTGCACCGTTATCAACAGCTTGGCAACATTTTTGACATCAATGAATCTATCTCTACTTTTGAGGTTGTTGTTGAGTTAACAGCTGATGGAAATCCAGAAATGCCTCTTCAGATAAGCAATCTTGGAAATTCACTTCAACAGCGTTTTGTAGGGGCTGGTGACCTGGGGGACATCAATAAGTCTATCTCGCTGCTTCAAGAAGCAATTGATTTACTACCTGATATTCATCCATCCAAACCTTCCATTATGGGAAATCTTGGAAATTCTCTTGTCAGACGTTTTGAACATCTGGGTGATGTTGGGGATATTAACAGATCCATTCAAGTGTTGACTAATGCTTTGGGCCTTACACCTCCTGGGCACTCATACATGGCAGCCTGCTACAATAACCTTGGAGTTGCACTCTTGCGTAAATTTGACTTGTTGGGGAATAGAGCTGATATTGATGAGGCAATCAAAATGCTAACTAAAGCCAATGAGGCAACAGATAATTTACAGCAAGAAAAGCTTTCCCGAATGAGTAATCTTGGCACCACTTTATTGAAGTGTTTTGATAAATTTGATAATGTCAATGACCTTGATAATTCAATATCAGTCTTTGATCAGGCCATGGAGCTTGCACCTGGTGATCACCCACATAAAAGCTCCTGTTTGAGCAACCTTGGAAGTGCTCTATCCAAGCATTTTGAAAGACAGTATCATCTCAATGATATTAACAGATCTATTCAGGTACTTGAAGAAGCTCTTCATATCACACCTGTTGGGCATCCAAATAGAGGAAATGTGCTGCATAATCTTGGGAGTTCACAGTTCCAGAGATATAAGAGTACTTCCAGCATTATTGATGTTGAATCTGCGATACAAAACCTTTCTGCAGCTGCTACTTCAAAAACAATTGCAGCTTCTCATAGATTCTTTGCAGCATCTACATGGGCTGATGCAGCCAGAGCAATCAAAAATGATCAATCTCGATTTGAAGCATATGGAGTGGCAATTGAACTTCTTCCTGAATTGGCATGGCTGGGTTTGTCAGTTTCTGATCGCCATGGTCATCTCTTGGAAGCAGGCCATGTAGTGAGAGAGGCTGCTGCAGCAGCTCTAAGTGTTTCTCAATATGCAACTGCAGTTGAGTGGCTAGAGCAGGGTCGCTCAATAATCTGGGGTCAGAAACTTCAGCTTTGTACACCACTTGATGATCTGGAAAGAGATTGTCCTGAGCTTGCAATAAAATTGAAGCAGATATCAAGGCAACTAGAAAGTCTATCTTCAGAAGATAGTAACAATCTGGTGGTACAACAATCCCATGATTTAGCACATAGAAGAGAAGAGCTTTTAAAAACTATTAGAACCAAAGAAGGTTTTCATAATTTTTTGAAGCCAAAGGTGTTATCAGAGCTTCTTCCAGCTGCAACTGGTGGACCTGTGATTATTGTGAATGCCAGTTCAGACAGATGTGATTCATTGATTTTGCTTTCTGATTCTGATGATATTGTGCATATTCCACTTGATCAGTTCAGTTACAAAAAGGCTTTACAGTTGGCAGAAACACTTGCAATGCTGCTTAAAAGTAAAAACAAACTACGTGAAGCTGATCCAGACAGAGGGATGAGATTGGCCCTTCAACATCAGGGTCAGAAGGATCCTGAAGCAATCTTTGAAACTGTTCTCTCTCAGCTTTGGGTTAGCATTGTTAAACCAATACTGGATGGTATTGCTATTATTGTAAGTCATTCATTCAACAAGATTGTACTATTTTGACAAATATTATCTAGAATCCTTCAGATATAACTAGTGAACTCACTCACATAAACTGGTGTTTAACAGGACCACTGTCATTTCTGCCAATGCATGCTGCAGGCTTGTATTCAGAAGAAAATTTTGGGCTTGGAAATAAATTGTCTGACTTTGCTGTCTCATCCTATAGCCCATCCCTAATTTCTCTTCTGAATGGACATAGATCTGGAAAAGGAAAGGAAAAAACTAATCAAGTTCTGGCTGTTGCTCTACCAGCAGAATCAAGATTACCTGGAGCTGGAATAGAAATAGAGAAACTCAAAGTGCATATCAAACATTTTCCCCTTCTTGAGTTACTGGAATCAAAAGCTACAGTAGAAGCTGTCACAGCTGGCCTGAAAGAATCTAGTTGGGTTCACTTTGCTTGCCATGGAATTCAAGACATTTCAAACCCAACTGAGAGTGCACTACTTCTTGCAGATCACTCCCAATTGACTCTATCCACAATCTCCAATTTTTTACTTCCTCATGCACAGATTGTCTTTCTGTCTGCATGCCAGACAGCTACTGGAGATAAAGATCTTGCAGAGGAGGCTGTTCATTTGGCAGCTGGAATGCTTTTTGCGGGCTTTCGTGGCACTATTGGTACAATGTGGTCTATATCAGACCATGAGGCACCTGAAGTTGCAGATTCTGTTTATGCACACATTTTCAAAGACAGTGATCCTGATGCCAAACAAGCAGCTTATGCATTGCATGTAGCCATTAGAAAGCTTCAAGAGAAAGGCAGTTCATATTTCTCTTGGGTTCCATTTATCCATTTGGGTGTTTAATCAATGATACTTGAATATGTTTTGCCTCATCTTGCCTGCCTTATACATTGTTGCCTCATACATTTGCCTCATACATTACCTGGCAAGCATATTGTTTTCTGGTTCAATATGCAGTCAAATAAGAAGAGGACCTTCATCTTGTTAAGCCTGCTCTTGCTCCTATAGTTTCTTTTTTTCATATTGTTTCAAGTGAGAAATAAGATAAATTTTGTAGTCATTGTTTGTATGAGAAAGCAAAGATTTATAGCAGACCCACCCTATCTGTAGATCTTTGTATGGATTTTTCTTTCTTCAATGTAAATTCTGTTAGTACTTAGGAAGTGTCATCTGTTACTAGAGAATAGCAACAGGTTGGTGTATCCTGCACAGGTATGGGTATATGTAATGATAACCCTACCTGTGATCTTCAAAATGAGTCAAAGAACATAATTTTTTAGGCTCGAGACCAACCGTTCTGGTGGCAGAAAAAAAAATATGTGATGTGTGGGATGGAATTAGCCACCAGAATGGCTGGTACAACTTAACCGTGAAGGAGTACACAGGAATTTCAAAGTCCAATTATCTGTTTTGGGACAATGTGATCTCAACGTGTAGGCCTCATTTCAACGATTATCTATGCGAATATACATGAATTTACCACCTCTAACCTTTCCGTAATGTCTACTCCTCGAAAAAGATCTGTTCCTGATGAAAATTCCCCACCTGCCAGCACCTTCATTCCGTACACTACACCACCAATATCAACTGTCAAACGAGTGTGGCGGCAGGTTCTCAAGGATGTTACACCTGCCCAACTCAATGAAGCATGTCAATCTTGGATCGAAAAACAAAAGGAGAGGGCTCAAGAGGAGGAGCTTAGGTTGAGGGAGGCTGAAGAAGAGAAGGAGAGGCAGACAACTGAGCGGTTGAGGCAGATGGAACACGCTCGGACTGCAGCAGGCTATCCGACGCTCTATGCGTATCTATCCGAACTCCTGCCACCAACGACCGACAGCTTTCATCTCAGGTCACCCAAATGCTTTCTCATCACGGCATCCATATCATCGAGTCCATTCACCAGTGTCAACCTGCAGCAACAGATGCTTGGATGGCTGCTAGGTTGAAGACCCTGCTTGTCGAAGAAGGAGTTCAACTCGGCAGTGTACTGTAGCCAAACCGGGACAGGAACATCACAAACACTCTTGAGGACTTTTCCCTCGCCAACCTCTTGACTGACGCTCGAACCGCTGCACCAAATTTCTTTTCTTTTCTTTGCAATCTGAACGGGTATTCCGCTGATGCAACGCTTGAGCGACGCAAGAAAAAGGATGTTGTAAGCACTTTTTTCTTCCTTCGTCTCAGTTGGTTCTGACATTATTTAGGTTCTTAGCACTGTTATGTGTATCATTGCCCAAACAAAGAACGAAAAGGCAAGTGAATTTCAGCTTGTAACAGCCATTTACCTCCTCGCAAGTGGAGCGTCTCGCTCGCTTTTCAACGTACTCAATCACGCTGGCTTCTCTCTCTCGTACTCATCCGCGATGGACAAGATCAAACTCATGGGGAAAGAACGGCTACAGTGCATCTGGTCCTTGGTCCGCGAGAAGGTGTGTATGGTCATTTGGGACAACATCAACATTGCCTTTCGCGTGAATGAGCAGCGACAAGCCGCGAAGAATCATTTCGATAACGGAACGACTGCCACTCTACTCCCACTTTTCAACGTTCCTTACGGTTCCATCCCTCTTTCGGTATTGCCATCACGTCAGGTTCGACGGAATGTCTATGATTTCCAACCCCATATCGATCTTCTACCAACCGCCGACCAAGTTTCAGAGCTCCAGACTTCCATGATCTGGCATATCGAAGACATCCTGCTCAACACATTTCCAGACATTCGTCAGTGTCTGAAAGGCGTTGATTTGTCTCCCCCCATGGTCCTTGCAATCCCAGTTCATAAAACAGAACAATATCCACTTCCTGCCACGCTCATTGATGAATCGACAATTGATGGTACACTTGACATCGTCGATCATATATTTTTCCGCACGTTAGGTCTCACTGAAGATGAGATAAAGAAGCATGGGCCCTTTCTCAGTGTAGGTGATCAACTAACAAATGCACTAACAGACTCCGTATGCATCCTGTATCTGTAGCTTGTTTTTTGCTAACAGAATCTTAGGCTTCTGCATCTCGACGAACAGATACTTCCCTTGTCGATAGCCCTGGAAAGTTCATGAAACCTCAAATTGGTCTCTTCCACGGAAAGGTGGCCGGAAGTCGATGCACGGCCAACGAACACTGGGGTGTCCTGAATAGCAAGTCCCCTTGGTCTCTCTGGCGAATGAACACCTTACTTGGCTGGAAACCCATCACAGCTGGTTGGAAAGCCAAGCAGCTGCCGCCATTTCGACCCATTATGGAGCTCATGTTGCAGCTGGCACTTCTGGCAAACATCCTTGATGGTTTTCGTTTGTACTGTCCAGGTAATGACCTCAAAAAATGGACCTCGCAGATTAAGACCCGTGAGGAGCTTTCCCGGGTTTCGAAAGCTGTTTTCGAGGAACTTTTTTCAGCTCAGCGGGTAACCAAACTTCGTAAACTCAAGACGCGTGACGTTCCTCTCGAAAATATCATTTTATTCAACCGTGACGCTCTTATACTCCTTGTGCTTACTGCAGCTATCAAACAAGGGGATATCGGAACAGTGATTAATGTCCTTGCACACTGGGTACTCATGTTTCATGGGTCAGGAAAGATGCCAAAGTATGCCGATGCTCTTTTTCACACTCTTATGGATTTGAAAACAATGCACCCTCATCTTCGGTAAGTATTCTTGTCTATTCCATGATACGTACTACTAATCTGTGTGTTTCAGCAATGCCTACTTGATGAATTGGTTGGCCAATTTATCGGGCAGGCCAAATGGCTTCAAAGAGATGGACTTACTTCAAGAGCATCAAAATTTCTGGCTTAAGGTACTGTTTTTTTAAGAATCACTGTTATGATTCTTTCACGGATTCTCACAGATTATTTACAATGCCAAAGGCTCTAACCGGAGCTGGGAATGGCTTGCGATGGTCTCTGTTTCAATATTTGCCCTTCGGGAAGTCATTCGCCAGGTTCAGACCCACTTCAAAACACCACGCAACAGTAATTCCCACACAAGTCCATCCACTGAAGCTGATGTCCAGATCATCCACAATTACCTTGTGGCTAATATGATTCAAAGCTATACACCCAGTCGCTTGAATAATGAATGGGCAACTCCCTCACAGGATCTCATGGTTGCAGGTGCCGTTTACGCAACAACCGCATCAGCCTATCGAAATTTCCGGCCAGACAAAAGACATGCATATTTTGCGTCTGGGACCAGCAGCCCCAAAACTTCAAGTGTCGAAGAGACTCCAGACCCATGTGACTTTCAGGAAGACCCAGGACTTGATCTTGGGGATCTGAGCTTGGATGATGAAGAATTCCCTGCAGAGTTAGATCCGGAACAGGTAGTATCTTTTGTTGAGGAGGCAGTTGAAGCACTTTCATTCTATTAGCTTAATGTTTCCATTCTTGTACAACTAGGCACGCCTACGTTTTGACCCACGGGGGTGCCCCCGTGCCCTACGTACATTTTCACCCTGTCTTCGCAAACTCCCTTCCCCTCATGAACTACCTTCCCCACGCATGGAAACTCCTGGCCTTTGGCGCTGCCGCCTTCCACGCTGACCCCTCCCACACCCACCTGTAGGATTAACTGATGCAGAAAAATCCTCAGGTGGAATTACCCCAAGAGCTGGTTCTTCTTCCTCTCCAGACTCCTCAAACGCTGAGTAAATTTCCTGCAGCTTGTCGAGCAAAAGTTGTCCATGCTGTGTGAGTTGGTTTTCATTGTCAAATGCCAAATGCCATTGCACGTTTGCTTTAAGATCTTGTGCAGATTGTATCTCTATTCCACAAGAAATCAAGGTGACAATGATTTCATCTGGAAGAAGGACTTCGGGACATACTATCACAATGGACGTGTTTGGGTAGATGGCTGGCAGAAGAACTGTTTCTCGCCAGTTTTCCAGTTCAATGCAAAGAGATTCAGCTAGCCAGGTAGGCAGTTTTCGTTTATGGCCGCGAGTAAGACCAGGACGCTTCTCAAGCATAATGGTCTCAATGATGAAGTGTTCAGGTGAACAAACATCACAGCAACCATGTTTGGTCTGGATTGGAAGGTTGTTGTTGTCGGATAGCTCAATTGAACTGTCAGGTGAGGCATAAGTAGTAGTTGAGAGTTATGAATGAATGCTGGCTCACGTTTTTTGTCATTAGAAAAGAAGTCATCCCAGATTTTGCGCCGGCATTGTCGGCCGGCGACAAAGAGATTCAAGAACTTTACCTCGCGTGAATTAAAGTCTTGTGCAGTATGTTTCCATCTCGTTTTTTTCAATGTAGATGAGGTGGGTGCATCCTCTTCTCCACTGTCGTGGCCAAGACGAACACCAACCTCCTCAATGGAGATGGTCTCGTTGCCTTTGGTGAGTTGCACTTCGGCAGCAGCCAAATCCGTTGTGTCCTCCTCATTTCGATTTTCACTCTTGTCTGATTGTAGAACTCTCTGCAGGCCTTCTTCAATATCAGCCTTAGATAATCCCTCCTTGAGTGTTGTTGGGGACACGATTAAAATGGCTTCTGCATCTGTTGCAAAATCTCGCCCTGCTCTACCTGCACGCTGAGCTAGTGCACAGAATGATGGTGGTAGGCCCCACAGAAGCACCCTCTTGATGTTGCGCATATCACATCCCTCGAAAACAGGTGAGTACTCAATGACTGGTATTGATATTGAACTTTAACACACCATTCCGAGTGCCTCAGTGCATATCCCAATTCGGATGCTTCCATCACGTAACCCCTCAACTATCAGATGCTTTCTTTCCGTTCCAATTTTCGCATGATAGAACACAATAAAACTTGAGGGATCTTCAAAGCCTGCATCAACTGCCCAGTGACATAAACTGTCATATGCTTGTTCAGCAGTCCCTCGTTCATTACAATATGTAAGTGTAATTGGAATGTCTTCAATTGCAGAAGCATCTTCCGGGATGAGAAAACGCAGGTCTGCAAAGGATTCTGCAGGGTGTTGCATTGTTCGACAAGAGAGGGCAACATTTGGACGGTCATTCGACAAGCCAACAACATGTGCATCTTTTGAGAGATGTAACTTGCCGCGGAGATCATCAAGAATGTGCTCTGGCAAAGTCGCCGATGCGATAGCCAGTGTGACATGTGGGGGAAGCACACCACGAAGAAAGCCAAGCTCTCCATAGTCTTTCCAAAAGCTACCACCCCAGAGGCTGACACAATGAGCCTCGTCAATGCAAACTGTGCATAAACGAGAAGTGAAGTTGCTCTTGGACAGTATAGCAGCATGAAATGTCAGTGAAGTAATGATTTCAGGTGAGACAATCACTTGTTGATATTCTCCAGCAACGATGGCCTAATTTTCATTGCTGTTCAGGTGGAAGGAATTTCAAAAGATGAAAATATTAGACAAACATTGAACATTTTCTCTCGACCAATTTTTGCAATGGTCTCACTGCAAACAGCAACTGTTGGCAGGATTGATGAGCTGGCCTTGTCATAAATTCCTAGTTAGATGGAGCATGAAACACAGAATCCAATGGATATACCTGATCTATCATGAGGGCAGACAGTGGTGACACCGTGATATTGATGTCTTTTGGGTCAAGGAGAAGTGGTAGGTTGAACACCAAAGTCTTTCCATTACCAGTTCCAACATCCAGAATAAGGTCTTTCCCTTGCAGACTGGCAGATGCCGCTTGTAATTGCCATCCAAAAGGTTTCTTGCCGAATTTTTCTTCTGAAAGTCGGGAAAGATATGGTAAGTCGAGTTCAAATTCTTTAAATTGACGAATTGTAGGCTTGCGAACGCGATCCTGTTCACGGGCTGAAGGTCCAGACATGATGGCAAGTTACTACAAACCATCTACGCTATTGAATACTATGTCTAAGAGGTGGATATGATGATATTGTGAAACAGATGTGCACGAGCATAGTGATCACGCGCATTGATGCGTGCACTAAAACGGATGTTCGGACCTTGAAATCCCCATGTGCTCCTTCATGGTTAAGTTGTACCAGTCTCCTTGGGTGCTAATTCTATCCACACTCATTTTTTCCCCACTTTTTCGCACCCAAGGAGAGTGGCAACAAGTCTAATAATTTTTGGACCATAATTGAGGGAGTTATACAGTGGAGTGCAGAAAGAATGGACCATGGGTAATTTTTTGGTTCTTTCTGAGAATGTATTGTAGTCTAAATGTAGTTGTGTATTTTTTTACATTATGTAGTTGCATCACACTTCCCTTGGCATGGACTAATTTGGGTGAAAGGCAGGGCTGTGATGATGTTTTTGTTTTGATGGCCATTTTCAGCACCTGAAAAAAAAAAAAAATGATTGGTCACTGAGGGGGCAGCTCTCTGCATCTTGTTGCAGACTATGCTTATCTTATCACTTCTACAAAACTATTTGTCAGCCTCAAATCTTCCTTGAGTCTTGACTGATTGTTCTCCAGATTATTAAAAGTGTTTAATTTAAATTTTTTGCTTGTTCAGTGTGGAAGGGTGATCTTTCCCATCTTACCTCTGCCTCCATTTTATCTCATTTCATCAAAAACGAGAACCATAAACTGCTAATTCTTGGACTTGTTTTGATGGAAAACCAGCAGATTTATGGGTACAGGTTTCTGGAGTGATACCTGTGCACCCATGCTGTTTGCTTATCTGTTACCAATTGTAAGTGTGCATGTGGATACTGTTGGAGTTCATCTTACTTTAATTAAATTCATTCATTCAGAAAAATTTTACTCAGCAGGTTAGGTTACCTACGCCGATAAAGCAAAAAGAAATCTTGACCCTCGAAATTATTCGAGTACGGGGAATCGAACCCCGAGCTACCGCGATGTGAGCATTTTGAAAGGCGGTAATGTTAGCCGTTACACCATACTCGAGTCAAAAAACATGGTATGAGTTGTAATCATTAGGTTTGAGAATTCTTTGCATGAGCTGTGCCCCCATGACCGTGTTTCATCGCCATCAACACTGCATAGCCCAAGGTATATAAGTAACCTTCTGCTTTTTTCGACTTCACACTTTACAACATTCAGCACGTCAATAACGACCTAGTAACGACTTGACGACCTTAATGCCAGCCCCTTCTAGCCCAACTTCACCCCGCGACCCACGGTACTACATTCCTCGACGCCCGTCTCCCCTTAGCCTCCCACCGCTCGCGCCCCACATGGCCTTTCAGGGCCCTTCGACACACCATGTTACCTTCCAAGCACCCTCTCACGGTTTCCAGGCTTTTGCGGCTTTGGCCGTTCCGAACACCGCTCATGAGCAGGGCGGGAGAGTGTACAAGGAACCGCGATACCCACTAGAAGCCCAGCGGCGGTTTCTTTCTGAAGCAAGGAAGGCATTGAATGAGGTAAAGAGGGACAAGGATGAGGAACAGGTGTGTCTCTTCGTTTTCGTTGTATTCAGTTCATGCGTCTCATCTTCGGATTATTGCACAGCCGAAATCGCCCTGCCAAACACTGCCCCCGCCTTCACCGACGACGACGCAACAACAGCCCAAAGCGCAGTCGTCTCCGACGTTGACTCTCCCCCTTACTCCTCTCAGCGGCGCGAGTACTGTATCGCAGTACTCCCAGCTGGGCGACGAGGACGATCACGAGACACAGGAGAAACGTAAGGGCGGCGTTTTCTGCTGCATTGGTGCGCTCTTCCATTTTATCTTTCACGGGGAGGAAGTCTAATTTCACCCCGTTATCAGGCGTACCATGGTTCCGGAATAGTCCCAAGCCCCCAGTCGTTCCCGTGGGCGAGCCTGCGATGCGGCAAGTTTCCGCAACGCATCGTTAGCTTGGGCGGGCTCCAGGTTAGCCATCGCTCCCTGTCCTTCGCCGGATGACTACACCCGCCGATACGGAGTGACCGCGGTTCGTTGATTGCCCTCCTACTGCTCTGAAGGAGGCTTATTGGATCGTAGGACTCGAAGGGCTGTAGCATCAGTTGTGATTATCGCTGGTTCGATACTCACCCCCGTCGTCTACAGGTTTTCGCAATGCAGACGCTG